AATACTGCATGATAATTTGAGAAAATTTAAGCATTTTTGTTGTGATAATAATAAATTTTTGTTCATTTTTTATCGGACTTGTGCATTCATTTCATAACGAACACGTGCGCACGCTACAATATGTAGAGATTTATATCACATACACACAGATTATTCAAATTATTAAATTGAGGTTACCAAAGGATGTCGTTGTAGTAAATTTAGGCAAATTTTAAAGATAAAATTAAACTGAAAACACCGCGATGACTAATGATGATGATGAGTCGGAAGACCGCTGGTCACTGGTGACCAATTACTTGACAGTCACCAATTATTGTACTGGTGTAAGGCAGTGTAATATTTCGTACAATGATAATTTTTCTTATGAGATATGAATAATAAATCCTTAAAGACCAGTCGCCATTATCACGCGAAGACGCAAAAAATTTTCATAAACGCATAATGTAACTCAAAATTCCAAAAAATTTTGAAATGCCTCGTTAAGGATGTTGCTGACTTCAAAAATTTTACGCACTGAGTTTTGTGCACTTTAGCTGAGTAAACGATAACCTTCTAAAAGGTGCATCACAGCGCAGCGCGTTTGCCTTTGGAAAAGCCAACTTTAAGTAAAATGCCCTTTTTCCATTCTCTTCGAAAGAATGATTCTATATCAGTGCTCAAATTAAACTGGGATTTCAAAGATGACACACTTCCGTGTAAAGCTGATTTCCAAATACTGCGACTAAGGCACTGCTTTCAATCGCGAATAAAATATTTTTGGATTAGTCTCCCTTAGTCTTACTTCCTAAACTTTACATAAAGCAGGGGTCTCATACTGGTGGCCCCTGAAGTAATATTATGAGGCCCTTAGAAACGTTACACATAAATTAATTAGAATGAAATTAATCAGAATTCATTAAAATTAAATTAATTAATTGAATTAATTAATTAATTAAAATGAAATTAATTAGAATGACAAGAATTTGAAGAACATTTTTAAGATTTTAATGATTTAGGATCCAATTTTTCGTTATTTTCATTACCAAAAATTAAATTTAGAAATGTAGCTAATTAATTTACACTGTGATGTAAATCTTATTATTCAAAGTCTTGAAGATACAAACTTGAGTAATTTTTATTAATACTTGTGGGAAAATAAATGCCACTAGTTAAAAAGTTTTGCAATAACGATCATAGTTTTGTTTGGGGACACGTTTACATGAAAATAGCATTTTTTGTATGAGAAAATTAATAAGTTTACCAAAAGAATCAGACTGCCGATGAGCATCTGCAATTTGTGACGAAGAGACTTTCTCGTAATTTTTCTCTAAGATTATAAGTCGAAACATCATGAGTTTCGACTGAAACTGAAAGTCGGAAAACCATGAGAAATTTTCTTTTTTGAAAATCGAAATACAATGAGGGGTTGTAGCTTGTAGCTGAAATGTGTAGTAAAAAACAAAGAAGTTCATGGTTATTTACAAACAAATGTTACTTTTTCTAGATGGATCATAGAAAAAATCTAATAAATAAAAGACCGAGAAATAGGTTCTCATTATTTATTCTGAAATTTTGTCCCTCTTAGGAAATTCTTGATTATTTCTTTTTAGTTTATATTAAAAGTAAGGTATTCAATGGTTGCTTCAATATAATATTACAATTCTTTGAATAAATGCTAATCTGAAAATTTTAATATTTAGATGTCAGATAAATTAACAGATTTTGTGTTTGATTAACAGATTCTGACTAACAAAAATTTGTTGCAGATACCAGCTTTTAGATTTCATATAAATAAGTATAAATTTGGATTTTTTTCTTTGCGTTATTTTTATATGTATATTTTCACAAATCTAATTAAAATATTAACTGAGTTAACAAATTTTGCTTTGCTAACAAACAAAATAAAAACACTTTTTTTGTTTCTCATCCCCTTCCTGGTACGAAATAAAGAAAGTATTGTAATCGAAAAAATTTCGGATATCATACGTATTTTAACGAAAATATTCCCTTTGATCTCTCTCTAGTCCATTTGTACGTACGGACAAAATGAAGGACTCTTTTTATTTCATTGTACGAGGTAAAGGAAGTATTGTAATTGCGAAAAATTTAAGGTATCATATTTCAACGGAAATATTCATTTTGACCGCTCTTGAATCTATTTGAACGATATTTTTGCCTGACATCTATACATATGGACAGAATAAAGGATTGTTTCCCAAAACTGATCGTTAAAATGGATTCAGAAGAAATTTTTTCATAACATCTGTTAGTGCGTACGTATGTACGTGTGTACGTGTAGTACGAATGTACGTGTGTACGCACGTACGTATGCATGTATCTGATATAAATCGAAAACGAGTAGCCTTGGAACGTTGAAATTTTGTGTATGAGACTGCTATAATATGTGCACCTCCGTTTTTGTTTGCGAACTGGCCGCACTAAGTGTATATAAATATATGTGTATATTTACCCACTCTATAATCTGACTCGGTTAGCTCAGTTTTTTTATTCTTATGTAGGTAATGCGCGTTTTTGCTTTATTATGTTAATTAATTATGTTGTTCTTATGTTCCACGTATGGGTTTATGCCATTAAATTATCTGCATGTAATAGTTATAGAAATATCAGTCATTTAAAAATATAAATGGCGCTACTAAGCCTAGCAAGCCGCAGTTTGTTTACATTTGAAACTCTTAGTAGAATAGTGAATTCAATCAGTTTCTGCACCAACTTCAGTGTATTTTTGCTAAGTGGGACCAAAAGAAGCTTTCAGTTTTGTGCACGGAAAAATCTGTCTTCCTGCTGGTTGGATGAATTGCTTGTTCTTGTGCAGAATATTTAATTTAAATTGTAAAAATTGTTACCCCCATATGTTTTTATTTGTATTTGGCGTTTTATGTTTTTCTGTATTTCACAATTTTTAATGAAGACTTTTTAGTTTAATGTTTTTGTCCTTGCCGCGGTGTGAAAACTGAATAAATTGAATGAGAAATATATCCCTAATGAAATTTGAAGAAATAAGTTTAAATGAAATGCAGCAAAAAATGTGTATAATTTAATAGGCCGTACAACAACAGCAGAATATATGAATGCTCCTGCAACTGAATGCAACTACACGGACTGGAGTCCCAGATAAAAACACCCATATTATTCAAGGGGTGGTATTCACACTACTCCAAACAAGCTGTTGATGCCATCGGTTATAGGTCTTGCACTAATCTCCTGAATCTGACAGTAATGAAACGATCATTCCTGAGTTCTGGAACCGCCAGACTCGTGATTTTATGTACCCTGGCGAGACTGCCTAGGTACAGATCCTAGTCAGTAGCTTTACAGATTTTTCTGAGTCGACTACCGGTGGGTGAATGATAAGTGATAAGTGATAAGTGACGGTGGACGTGGGCACTGTCCCTTTGCCGTAAAGATTAATCAGTACAGCAGCACGTCCACCCTTATCTAAAGTTGGCTAGAGATTGTATATAGGTACATATAGAACATAATAATTATTCCTGTAATTACGCAAATGAACTTGGGAGAGCTTTCATGCTGGGCTAGTACATATGCACTACATGTGTGCAGAAGGCGGTTGCAACTAAATTACTTCAGTGCACGTATAAATAGTGCTGTGCATATACATATTTACATAATTATGACATTGCATGTCTTATATATACACTATGCGATACGGCATTGACATTATATATGAGGTATGAGATAATAGTGGTATTTACATTACCATTATTGACATTATATTTATGAATTACATTATGCAGATTCAACTCTGTAAATACATTGTCAGGAGCAACATTACATATAGAACACATTTATAACACTATATTTGCTCTTGCTTTTATGTGATTGAGCTTCAGGATGGCGTACAGGCAGACCTGATAAATAGACATTATAGGTGCTCAAGGGCTGAGAGGTCCTGCTGTACCTGTGAGATTTTTGTACAGGCACATAGATACTTATTTATGACAGTGTTTGCATATAATGCGGTACTGTAAGTATTTTCTATATTATGTTACGTAATTCAATACAACATTGCATATGACTTTACATTACTATTCAGAAATGACGTTACACTTGCGTTACGTGGTATTACATTTACAGTTTGTGCAGCGTTCGGATTCAGCAGTGTTTTTATTATGTCCAACGTGACATTAGATTTTGATACATATTGAGCAATATAATTGCTCTGGCAGTTATGCAAATGAGGTTAGGATGTCTGACATGGCGGGGCATGTGAGTATACATTTCTACTGTTCATAGGAGCATCTTGCTATGTCACTGCGGTATGCGCAGACTGTACTGTACATATGCTTTTGCATACATATTCTAAGATATTGTCCTTTGACTGTTCAGTACATCCGATGCGACATTTACATTTAAATACACGTATTTAAAGCAGTTAGGTTGTGCAGCCACTTATGGGGATGGGCATTGGGTAGCATTACACTTGCAATTCAGGTCTAGGCAGAGCCTGAAGTCAGCTGGGTACTTTCTTTGTCTGACACGTCATCCATATTAATATTCACTGTTAAATTAGTGGAGATGTTCGCGCATACTTGCTGATGTGCATGAACTATTTTATATAATGGTTTTTAAGTTATTTACATTGCTTGAATTTTGATTAGTACTGCTGAGATGTTGCGGTACGCTTCGGATAAACAGTACATGTACACATACGCGGTATACTTAGCCTTGCGTATACGTGGTATATGTGGCCTTGCACTAATTATTCGACTGCGCAAAGGTCAGTTCCGTGTCTGGCAAGTAAATTCATAATTTTAATGATCTGTCGACAAAGGTGCTTTTGCTTAATCATGAATTTACAGAAGGCCTGCGTATTGACAGTTGGAATACGTATGTGCAGTTCGCTGGTAAGTGGGCAGGTTGTGACATAATGCTCCGGAGTACCCAGGTGGCCACAACTGCACTGATCTGTGTCAGTCACGCCATGCCTGGCAAAGTACTCCGGGAAAGGCCCATGGCCCGTGATATAGCGCACCAAGTGCGTATTAGAACATAGCCGGGCAGGGTTTACGTACATTAGATGGTAGTGTGTACGCCTGCCTGTTTGTGCAGTGTCCCATTCTTCCTGCCACTTTAGCGAGAGCCTGCAGATGGAGATGTCGTTTCAAAGTAGAGTGTGGCCATGGAATTTCCAATTCCTCCTGCTTCTTATGTTGAGGGCTGCGTCTTTCGCGAGGGAGGTCGGCTGCCTCGTTACAGGTGTTTCCTGCGTGGGCTTTCGTCCATGCCAGGCGAACATGCAGATGCTCTGTCTGCCTTAGATGGTATTGAATTTCTTTGATAATTGTGGACGTGTGTGCCGGATTTTGGATGGCTTGTAGGGCTGACATGCTGTCGGAAACTATTGCTGCATTCCTGATGTTATGGTAAGCAATATGTTGTACTGCCTTTTGAATTGCCAGTGCCTCCCCTTGAAAGACGCTGTTGTTTTTGTTCAGATGGCCCTTCCATTGCGCGACCTGTTCTTGGCCTTGAAACATTACGTACGCACATCCGACGTTGTCATCCATTTTTGACCCATCAGTAAAGATACGGGTATTGTACCTGTTCATATCTTCAGGTCGCCCTTTGAGGTTGATTCGTACTCCTACGCTCTGCTGTGCTGGGTGAAACTCAAGTGGATTGGCTGGAATTTCATAATCTCTGGGCCAGTAAGTTTCTTCATATAAAGTGGCTGGTTGCCGCAGTTGCTTAACTTGTTGCAGGACTGCCTCCCTTTCGGCGCTGATGTGAAGTGGAACGAGACCTGCTAAAATGTTCAGTGCGCTAGTAGCTGTCGTGCGGTAGGCCCTCGTGATGTTTAACATAAATTGCCTTTGTATACTTGAAAGATGCCGCACTTTACGGCTTTGCATCGGCTGGGCCCATACAGCCGCCGCATACGTTACAATCTTTTCTGCAACTGTCTGATAGATGATCTTATGAATATGCGGATTGAGGCCCCAACTGTGACCCTGCATTAACCGCATGTTCTTAGCAATGGTCGCGGTACGTTTTTTGAGATCAATTACATGTGGGATCCAGTTCAATTTATTATCAAACAGTAGACCCAGATATTTTAATTGCTTAACTATTTTTATCCGCTGGCCATTGATGGTAATGCGAGGCTGTCTGACCAGCGTTCCTCCTTTTTTGGGGAAAAGCAGAATTTGTGACTTGCTTTCCGCTATTATTAATTTTATCTTCTGGCATCTTTCGCTGAACAGGGAGCAGGTCTGATTGCTGTTCGCTTGTAGTTCCTCTCTCGTTCGACCTTTTACTATAAAGGCCGCGTCGTCCGCGTAAGCTATAAAACCTTGTATGCTCCGGCCACTGTGCAGAAAGAATACTGTTGAAAGTTAAGTTCCAGAGTTGGGGGCCCGCGCATGAGCCTTGTGGGCATCCGCGGGATTGCCTCCTCTGGAGTATACCTCCGTTGCGGACGACTATGACGCTTCGGTCTGACAGGTAGTGCTGGATTGTTCTGTAAATGTTCGATGGGCATTTGGCTTCTGCCAGCGCATTGAGTATGGCTGGCCACCACAGCGTGTCGAAGGCGCTTTTTAGATCGAGGCTGATAAACGCCGTGTGGTGACCGTTCCCACACGGCGTTCCACACGGTTCCCTTGATTTTTATAAATTTCGTTTTTGATTTCTGCCAGTGCGTGAACCGTTGATGTACCGGTTCTGAAGCCATACTGATTAGGGCTTAAGTAATTAGTGAGGTGCAAGTGATGCCTCAGCCGATTCATAATGATCTTTTCGTACACCTTCCCCAACGCAGACAAGAGGCAGATGGGTCTGTACGAGTCTGGGATTGGAGGGGTCTCTATTTTTCTTTAGAAAGAACACTGCTTGCCCTACTTTGAAACACCGCGGGAATGTACCCGTGTTATAAAGCCTGCTCAGGAGTGAAGTGAAGAATTCAATGTTTGCACTTAAGACGGCCTTGACGATGTTATAATTTACTCCGTCCGGCCCCGGAGCTTTTTTCTTGGGGAGGCAGCGTAGTATTTGTATCAATTCCTGTGCTGTGATATCCTTTGTCATCTGGGATGGAAGTATCTGTTGCCGTAGTCCTTTGTTGTTGTTGCTCAGCTGTATCTCCTGTCATATCATCCTGCGGGAACACTGCATCTAGTAGTATCGCATTCAGTGTGCTGACCGTGGGGCTTTTCATCTTCTGTCATTGCATGGAGGAGATGAAACTTAGTAGGTGCATACATCTTCCCGGTCGCCAGCTTGTGATGTATGCCAAAGGGAGCTGTGTTCTCTGTGCAGAAAGCCCTCCAGGAGGTGAGTTTTGCCTGTAGGACCATCCTTTTATAATGGGCTCTTTCTCGCTGGAAAGCTATCAAGAGAGTTGAGTCAGCGGTGTCGTTCCTTTGGCGATCTCGCTTAAGCCGGCGTCGCAGTGCACGGCACTTTTTTTGCTGTACTTTAAGGTCGCTTGTCCACCAGCTCAGACTTTGCGGCTTTTTGGTGGTTCTGATCGGCAGAATTGCTTCGCAGGCTTCTTGTATGACCGTGACGACTTTTTCAGTAAGTTCTTCGAGCTCTGCTTGTGTTGCTGCTAGCTCTATCCTGGGGCGCAACTCGCCTAGATGGTGTTGACAGCGCTGGACGAATCGCTTTCAGCTTGTTGGCGGACAGATTATACCTTCTTATAATAGAAGTAGTTGTCCGGTGCGCAATTTTGAATGTCACATAATTGTGGGGGTGAATGAAAGGCTGTACAAGTCGTGCGGTGCCCACATCAGATTTTTGTTTTTTATTGCGGTCCCTCAGTTACTTTTAGAAAGTGCATTTGGACAGCGCGTAATTTGAGTTTGACACCACTGACTTTGGGCATTATAATAAAAGGAAGATAAATGTTTTTCAAAGTATCTGGGCAAACAGTTTCTGAGTTGGTCAAAAGAATGGATTGAATCTGATTTCTATTTTAAAATTACGGTGTTCGTTAAATCTAGATGCATATGAAAAGGAAGTTAGTATTTGTCTTCATACGAGGTATGTCTATAAATAAACAGGGCTGGCTCAAAAAAGGGTACTTATTTGTAATTTACGGCAAATCTATAGTTTGCCATTTTTAATATATTCCTCATTGGCGCTCACACTGGAAACTGTTTTAATAAGTGTAACGTTTCCTGTTCTTTCTAGCACAGATTTTATTCTTTTGTAAAGGAAAAAGGTCACAGTACGCTAAGTCAGGGGAATATAGACAATGTCCAGTTTTGCAATGCGTTTTTCAACCAAAAATTACTTAATGGAAAGCGCTGTGGGCGCAGACCCTTTATCTGTATGCAGAATGGAACTATTTTTACAAAGTTTTGGGCGGTATTTTTTCCTTAACTTTTTCTGTCAGCTTAAACTATGCAATAACGCTGGCCCAGTGTTTTGTCTTCTGGTACTCACTCTTCCAAACTGATAACTTTGATATTAAAAAAAATGCAATCAGCATTGCTTTAAATTTTAATTTGCTCTGACGAGCTTTTTTGATTCTTGGGGAAGAGAGATTTTTCAATGCATGGATTGCCTTTTGCCAATATCATTTGATTCTCGTTGCATTCAAAAGGACAAGGCCAGTACTGTTATTAAAAACAGTGCACGTCTTTTAGACGTGCACTGTATATTTTCCGATACAATTAAACACGCATATGCCACTTCCATGTTCTTAAAGATAATGATCATGCAACACACAAATTTATCCAAACTTCTTCAATATTCGCTTCTCTTAAGAAAATAACAATGCCTGGACGTGTTATACGTTGTATGAGAGTCAAACTTAATAGCAGTCATTGTTGATTTGGCAATGTAGAAACTAAAAATTTTTACCGGAGGGAGTGATTTGACAAAAGTTTTGAATTCACAAAATTTCAGTTGGGGAATCTTAATCTGAAATCGCTTCCATAAACAACGATGCTGGCTCAATGAGATGAATGCAGACACATTATTAGCGTAATGAGACCAGTTGATCTTCCCTTAGAAGTTGTTTAACTGAGAATTGTTTGTAACTGAAATTGTAGGAGGGACCATCAAGGATGATAGTATCCGAATCTTTATGGCTATAAAGTGACGAATTGCCATAATGCATAATAGGTTCCACGAAAAGTAAAAATGTTTCAACATCTCATAATAAATAAGACAAATATTTTTTCGACCTGATAGAAAGTCGTAATATCGGCAGTTTTTAAGTACATTTTATGACTGATTATTAATTTATGGAAAAAGATCAAGCATCACATCTTATATACTCTTAGAAAAATGAGCGTAAAGAACACTGATTATGTTGACATAAAAAGAAGCATTTAATAAACAACATAAAAAAGCTTATGTACACTAATATTTGTTGCTGAAAGTCATGGGATAACAACTAAGACACAAGTCATATATTGCAAGACGCTATTGACTTCAAATACCCAGTTCTTTTGCCATCTGGTCATTTTGTTGTTTATCCATTGAGATCATTGAAAACTAGAAATGTATTATATGAAGTTCTTCTTTTAGTGACTAATTCAAATAAGAATTATTGAATTCTGATGGCGAAGAAAATTATTCGGAATACGTGCAATGTTAAAAAATTCAGTTCACTTACAATAGAATTAATTTCCATAGCATTGCCAAAGCAGCAGAAGACGTAGCTGGGAGAAATAGTTTAATGTGTATAGTACTTCAAATAGTAAGAATAAGGTATTATAACTTGACAGACCAAATATCAGGGATTCTACTCTACCTGTGCCAGGTACTGTACCTATTATACTGCGCAGTACACTTGGAATTGATAATATGATTTTAAACGAATCTTTCTTTCTTCATAACCAGTATAGCTGGGTCGCAACAGATTTAGTCAGATAATGGTAAAAATTTTCTTTGAGCAAACCAGAACTTCCAACAGGATAGAAGCATTTTTCTTCTGCAGTAGTTATTCAAAAAATTCAATGGAAATTCAATTACACGTAGAGTCGCTTTGAGAGATTATTTATGAAATTCATATTAATAAATGTCCTTGGTAAGGTATCATTATCCTACAAGAAACTGAACACTGTATTAATGTGATTGTAAGGGAAGTAATGAACTCTAGACTTCTCACTCATGCCACTGAGAATTTGGAAGTTTTACTACCACTACAACATGTCTCTACAAGAAGGAAAATCCTGTGATGTAGTATACATAGACGTAATTGAATGAAAAATGAAAGAATCAAATATCAAGAAGAGTAAAATATATCTTCGTCAATTGTTTCGAATCAAGTCTTTGGGACGTTACGCCGTAAGTCAACAAACATTACTTCGAAACAGAATCAAGCCACTTCTTTTGATGATATTATGCTTCCAGAAAATGATCAGAAATATGCGTATTAGTCACTGGCTCGAATAATGGAACTTAAAAACGGTAAAGAAGATGGTTAGCTGAAAGTTACTGTAAAATACTGATTGTTTAAAAGCTTTAAATACGCTACAGAAACCGTATCACCCTAAAAATTTAAAAGAAGTTATATTCTAATACAGTTTTAGATGCCCAAGACAGCAGATACTTTATTGTTGTTGAATGTTTAATATATAACCTTTATGTAATAAAATGATTTTATGTTTAAATACACTAAAGTTTTATAGTTAGAAATAAAATGTTAATTTTTAATTCATTTGATTTTAAGATTTGCACATGCAGCTGAACCGAAGTTAGTTAATACACGCAAGACTAGGCTTTTGCTCATTATCAGATGTTTGGAAACAAATTTGTTTTGAACTCAAGAGACTTTAAAACTATTCTAAATAAGAATGCAATAAGATAAAAGATAATTATAAGTAACTAATTATTTAATTGTAAATAAATAAATTTGAAAATGAATAAATAAAATAAAAAACACGCAAATAAAACAAAGAATAACTTTCTTTCTGCTTTTAAAAAAGGAACTACAGCGAGACTTGTCTTGCCTAGATAGAGCATAATTTTTAAGAGGTGGGTGGTTTTTTTTTTTTTTTTTTTAAGA